ACCTTGCCTACCAGGCGCTTCGCACAAAGCCCGGATCAGGTCGGCCAACGCCAGTAGGACAAACGAGTACGCACAACCGAGAGCCTACGATCACGGAAAATAGGGGTGAAGGTCGGAGGTCACGCGGCCAACATCCCACCCCGTCTCATCGTCGCACCCGCGAGGCAAAGAACAACTTAAGTGAACAGCAACGAATGATCAGTCCGCCGGTTGACGTGGGGGAGGTCAGCAAGCCCACCAGCAGCCAAACTCCGGGAGACCAAGCGCGGTCAGGAACGAACGGGCAGGTCAAAGTTTGCACGTCCAACACCGACATAATACGAGGCAGACGGCAAAGCTGGCTAACTCAAGACCACCAGACGCAGCTACCACAATACTTTGACGATGGTAGCGAGAAGGGTTCCGAAGCGTCAGTTCAAATATAATTTGGTCCATTAACCCGCCCACCCCCCTTATTCTTGCTTATCTTTGGGAAATGATGAGCGCGACAGCATATCTGGACCCCGAATCTTTCGGCATAACACTAACTACTTATTTCGCTGTAGTTTACTATTTAGTTTAATTGTTAGTTTAGTTCAGCTTTGTTATTTTATAAGTTGATCGTTTTGTTTTCCTTTCCTCTGATATGCCAAACCTATATAACCCGTATTACCACCAGTCCCACATTACACAAACCTGGTTTTTCTTCTTACTGTGGCCTTGTCCATAAGGAATTCTTAGCGAAAAATTGTCTAACAGTATAAAAGATTGTCATCCATACGTAGCGATCAAATTTCCGAACAGCGACCAAAGATCAACGCATTAGACCGTTCGAAAACTAGGAATCGCTCTTCACCATCTATAAGTAGATGTAACCTTAAAGAAAGGACGTTAAATGGAGTTCACACACCCAGATCAGGGTGGAGGACATGGCACAATTAGCTGAAACTTAGCGCATTGACAGAGCATCAGTTATTTCTAGGCCTCTAGTTGCTAATCCGTCATTTAGGTCGTTGATGTTCGACTTCTACAGCGAAAAGTAAAGGTACATAAAGCGGACAGTCACTGAGAAATGGCAGTAAAATTGGTCAGAACAGTGGAAGAACAGGCTTCAGCTTCGATAGGTGAGTCACGGATTCCATCACAAGCGTATATGACCCATTTCGATTAAAGGTCCAAAACATAGCATAGCATGAAAGAACAGATAAGACAAGGTGGTAAATGCCGGAGGAGTCTAAAAATAGCAGAAACACATACCGGCTGCACCATTACGTTATTCTTCCCATACAAAAGTGGAGACTTCTCATTTTGCAGCAGAGATTCAACGTAATCCTTGGCTACTGTGAGCTTGTAGGATGAGGGAGTGGACACCGAAGGAATGCCGTGATGGGAAGGAGGTGAGACCAGATTGGATTGGACCTCCGGAGGTCCATAGGGTCCAGGGTAACTCCCCCAGCGCAGGTCGCTGCGATCGTTACCCTACATAGTTCAATTAAAAGATAAGATATTCTCCATTGAAAGCAAAACAGTGTAGGCGAGTGACGCTAAAAGCAGTTTCGCACTCAAATACGCAAGATTAAGCCAAACGGCACGCTTGTGTCAAAGAAAAGCGGGCAAAGGTTACGAAGGAATTATTAACCATTCTCAAGCCACGCGCTGGATCAGTCATAAAGAACACTTTTATATCAACCTTTATCCATCCTCCACCGATTAAAATGCCATTTCAACGGCAGGAGCAGTGTTGCAGTAACAGCCGATGACTCATCGCCGCCACATGACGGTGAATGGATTCAAAACGGTGGGAAGTACTCAAGGCTGCCCGAGTAAAGCAAGAGTCAGCAGTTGATGCACTAATGAACTT